TATCAAATGGCAGGCATTTTGATAGTCATCATTAGCCCTTAAGCAGACTTCGAGATATACAGAAAGAAGGAAGAACATCAAAATGACAAAATATCGTGAGAGGGGACAGAATAATGATTCACAGACGTGAAGGAGACAGAGGGACACAAAGGCAGAGAAAAGTCAAGATGAGTACTGTGGAAATAATCGAATATGACATACAGAAGTGAGAAGTCAACTGCCGATTAATAGACTTTTTTGCCATTTGAGTATACATTGCCCAGGGTGTACCACGTGGAGGTAAGTCTATCGCACACCTCAATTTTATACAATAATAGTTGTTTAGTGCTATGATGTTCAACTAATCCTATCGAATTGTGCCCTAAAATTCACTGTTATATCTAGTGGTCTGCAGTTAGGCTAGCAGGATATCATAGCCTCTCTCGAAATGAAGAGATCAAGAGTTGGGTTGGACTAATGTGGTGAAGTGGGGGGGGGGTGGGTTGGGGTAGATGGGGGTTGTGAGAGAAAGAAATAAAATACGCTAATATTAATCAGGTGGAACGCGAATTTTAGTAAAAAGGACCTATTAAGGTACGATATGGAGTTTTAAGTTAGTTGATGGGAAACCAATCAAATCATCATCTGAGATTTCAGGCACGAAGAGGTTTAATTCAGCCATTATGTATGTTCCACGTGTGGACTTTCCACTTTTCCCCTGCCTGGTCAGGTGATTAAATGGTCGATATCAATCCACATTGCATATACTTAATAAACAGTTTTTGCTCTACTTCTAAGGTAAACAAAAGACAGCAAAAAGACAGTCACAAGTAGTATGTACACACTTTCATAATTTTATTTTTTTCTTGCCTTTCAGGATGAATAAACACTGCTTTGTTGTCATCGGTATCGCAGTAATTTTTCTCTTTACTGCCTTAGCAGGAGCTTTCAAATTCCATGGCTGCAGAGCACTTTTCCACGAAGATTGTCAAAGATTTGGATGGATTAGAGATATAACGGGCTTGGTGGCCACAGCATTGGTCCTCTTTTTTCTCGCCCTCATCTTTAGCTTAGTCTATACTATCAAGAAGTTGGATTGGGCCAGCTATTTGGAGTTTGGACTGCTCGCTTTTGGAGCTATCCTAATGTTAGCTGCTGTGTGTTTAAATATGTCCGTTGACAGGTGGAGGACACCTTCGCCCACAATGTGTACAATCGCCATGACGTTGTCAATTGAACTAAGCGTTGTTTTGGCAGTTCAATTTCTAAAGGGAAAGAGCTTTTAAATCAGCCCACGTGGTTCGTTCGACTTTCTCAATACATCTTCCCTCCTTGCTGTATTCGTGTTAACGTCAATTAAATAAAATTCGAATTACTTTTGTGTTTGGTGTTATTAGCTGAGCAGATATCTATGGTAGGTAATTGAGTTAGACCTGACAAAGAAGGAAGGTTCAGTAATTGCGATGGTTTAATTGAAAGCTGGTTTAAGTTGATGAGCTAAGAGGAAGCGTAGAGGATGAAGTACATAGGATGAGAACTTTATTTATTTATTTATATCAATTGGCAGGCGTTTTGATAGTTATCATTAGCCCTTTTGTTGACTTCAGGCTTCACATAGGGAAAGGAACATCAAAGTGAAAAAAACTCGAGAGGGGGGGGGGACAGAAGAGTGTTTCAAAGACGAAGGTAGAAAAGGTAAAAAAAGGTGAGGTGAGTACTGTGAAAGCAGTCGAATATGACATAAAGTGGGGTGATGGTAGTTTGAAGTCAGAAGTCAACTGCGGGTTATAGACTTTTTTGCCATATGAGTATACGTTGGCCAGGGTGCACCACGCGGAGGTAAGTCTATCGCACACCCCAGCTATTCGAAAATAAATTTAAGAAAAAACCCATCCACATTCATAGCTTAGTTTAGTTATGTTTGGATAAAGAACAGTTCAAAATAGGACTTTGTAGGACTAATATCAACTGCGTAAAAACGAAAATAAAAATTTGAACAGTGATAGACCGAACTTAAAGGGAAACAGAAATGGTATCGCCAAACGAACAGGACAGTGCATTTTTTGGAAGAGGCTAGTTCTATACGCCTTTTACGCTCTGCATTACACGTGAAAACTAACGACGTAACATTCAGAGATGGATAAAATTCTGAAATTATAGCGATTTCTTTCTGCGTTTCTAAAGACGATGGAGGAAATTTTTAGTTACGGCACTTAGTTGCTTTCCAATTAGATTTTCCTACAAAATTCTAGAATTGGGTTTCAGTTTTTTCTTTGAAAGTTTATGCCGTCACCCTTGAAAGGCCTAATCATCTACCTAATCTAGTGCAGTATCTTAGGAGCAAACAAGAATATTCACATGCACTTATCAGTAATCATTTCCATAAAACAATTATTGTGAATTATAATTTTTTAACGCCAGTGGAGAACAGAATGGACGACATGGGTTCCGAAAATGAAGCCTGTTGGTGAGTATTTAAAGATATAATGCTTCTTTTGGTCGAAATGTCATTACGTTTTTGCAAGAACTTTGTTTTTATTTTTTTCGTGTAACCATGGCAATTCATTACTTAAAATGAATAATTATTCCATGGCGCTTCATTAATTAGTTGTCACAGGGTATAATTTACTTTCAAATTAAAAATAATTTATTTATTTATATCAAACGGCAGGCATTTTGATAGTTTAGCTGACTTCGGGCTACAGAGTAAGGAGGAGGGACATCAAAGTGAAAAAAAGTCGAGAGGGGGAAAAGAAGAGTATTTCAAAGATGTAAAAGAGACAGACACAAAGATAGAGTGAAAGAGGTGAGGTGAGTACTGTGAAAATGGTCGAATATGACATAGAGGGAGGGGATGGCAGTTTGAAGTCGGAAGTCAACAGCCAATTAATAGACTTGTTTCGCCGTATGAGTATACGTTGCCAAGGCTGCACCACGTGGAGGTAAGTCTACCACACACCCCAAACATGATATTCGGAGAAGGGGACGCTGAAAGAGAGAATAAACGAAAGCATCTTGGGAATTTGTTCTCGTATCGTTCTACCTCAGCTCTCTATAATGGAAACTTTTGCGTTCCAAATTTTGCCTTTAAAGAACTGTGGCAAATCTGTTGTTGAATTTGAGGATGACATGCTGATATACCGATTTTCTCTCTCTCTTCCCCTCTCTCCCCCCTCTAGGGGAATATTCCACCTCTGAGTTTGTCATCACAACTTTGTTTTCCCTAAATGAGCTGTTTAAGACAAAGGCAAACGAGAATGTGAGTCACAAATTTCCACTTTCATTCCGGTAAGCAATTTAATTACATTGTGCAAATAACATTAACTTAATTTACCTCGTGACCTCTCACTTGTAACTGCACATATTTATGGTGTAGATTGTCAGGATATTTGTCCGTCTACTAATATGGCTATCACTGGAACCAGAAAAATAGCATTTTGTATGCCTGTATTCAAAGAGCAAACAGATTGTTAAAAGTTTTCGTAAAATACAGTTTAATGCTAACAAACGGAGTCGAACTCCCTTTTCTACTAGCATTTAGATGGGGGAGGGAAGCGGGGGGGGGGGGGTGGTTGTCTCCACTCACCACCCCTACTTAAACTGCCAAATGGTATTAAAGACGCATATATTACCCCATTAACTATAACAAATATCAACTGGGCTCAAACCACAATGGCTCCTTACAAAATTTTTGTGCGAACTAACTCCATAGGGACTCCATTTTCGGTGGGGTGTGCGATAGACTTACCTCCACGTGGTGCACCCTGGGCAACGTATACTCATACGGCAAAAAGTCTATTAACCGGCATCTGACTTCTGACTTCAAACTACCACTACCCCCCTGGTTGTCATATTCGACCCCTTCCGCAGTGCTCACCTTACTTTTTTCTCTACCTTTGTGCCTGTCTGCCTCTTTTACATCTGTGAATCGCTCTTCTGTTCTGTCTGCCTCTTTTACATCTGTGAATCGCTCTTCTGATCCCAACCCTTCTGCCTCTTTTACATCTGTGAATCGCTCTTCTGTTCCTCGTTTACATCTGTGAATCGCTCTTCTGATCCCCACCCCTCGAATTCTGCTACTTTGATGAACTTTCCCTCTGTGAAGCCCGAATCATCTGTGAATCACTCTTCTCTTCCCCACCCCTCGACTTTCGGCTACTTTGATGAACCTTCCCTCTGTGAAGCCCGAAGTCAGCTAAATGGCTAATGATATCTATCAAAACGCCTGCCATTTGAAATAAATAAATATTGCGATTGTGGGCTTATCTATTGACTTTTCTGCATAGGTTATATTTAATGAAAAGCGTGAACCCGCGAACCTGCGAAAAGTAACCTCTTTCGTATCTCCTCTCTTTAATTTCTTCGGAACGATCTATTTTCAGGCACGTTGTGTAAGTGTGTGTTCGTTGATTCAGGTGTATATTTTAATGCCATTTTGCCTACATATCATCTGAACAATTTAAAGCCCCTAGGACCGTACTGTTCCCTTTCAAATTAAGCCCTATTGATACTAGATTCTTAACAGAGGGAGCTATTGACGTTTGGAGCATGTTCATGCATGAAAAAAAGAAGTGTTTAACCCACTCGCTTACTAATGAATGCCATTAAATTAAGCACACAATAAACGCCATTATGGTTGCATTCAGTGGTGAACTTCTCTTTTGTGTTTAAACGTGGATTAATGCGCAATCTCATATCACTGTATGTGTGGGTTTAGCGTGTCCACAATTTGCATGAGGTGCGGTAGGGTGGGGGAGGGGGATATTTGGGAACAATTAAGAGAATGCCAGACTTCAATTTATCGAAACTGCGCATTATTTTGCGTGAGTGCTTATCTCCCTCCCCCTCCCTCCCTCTCCCTCCCCCCCCTCCCCTCTCTTCTACTCTTCATGATGCATTGTTAAATGGGCACAAACGCACAATGGCTGCTTTTGCTCTTGAGCATAGTTTTGAGGGGGGGATCGCGATTTCAGTACAGACACGCAAACACTACTTCTACTATTAAAGGGGCTCGAGACACAAGGGGCCGAATATCATATCTGTTGAATGCTGACAGTTTCTGCGCAGACGAGCAGGCAGCTTAATCGTAACTGCGTATACTTAACGCTTGCGTGCGTGTGTATGTGTGTGTGTGTGTGCAAATGTTACTGTTGGAGAAATTCTCATCCCTCACATTCAAATGCGCAGATAGTCGTGCTTTTGAGTGGCTTTGTTCGAGTAGCCATGTGATCTACAGAACTAATTAACTTTACCATGCTTTAGCTATTATTAATTGATTTGACAATCGAGAGGTGCTGTCGACCAGCCCCCATGGACTGGATAATTAAATTAGGGCAATTAAATGACTGGAGTGAGTGGATGTCCAAGGGTAGGGTACGAAGCTAAAAAACCTCAAACTACTCCCATCAGCCGACCCCCTGTTTGGTGATTAGAAAAGCTGTTCACTTATTGCTGTTGGTGAAATTCGATTTGAACAAGAAGATGAAGAGTTTTCGATCAATTTTGTGACCTGATGTTGTGGAGGGCAAATTAGTCTCGTGTCATTCGACTTATGGTTTATGGTTGCACGATACTACAATAAGTGATAACCCACATTCCGAAAGTTGAATTTTATTATTAATTAATTTGATTTAATGATGATTTCTTAAGCTTGCTGGCCAGTTGTTTCGTTATGGCAGCTAAAATGTTGAAGGCAAACTCCTCTTACAACACATTAAAGAGCTTAAATGAAAGTGATCAAAAAGGCAATATGTAACCCCTTAATGTCCAAATTATTTTTTTGAAAAAGTGCCCAATCGCACTCACACATATCTCACCGCGATCTGATGTCGCGACGTGTTGAGTTTTGGTGGTGTATCAGGCGAAGACTATAGACACATATTGAGCATGTTTCAAAAGGCGATAGCACCTTCTGTTACGAGTCTGTTGTACCAATGGAGCTTATTTAGAAAGAGAATCGTACGGTTCTGCAGAGCGTTAGAGGGTTAATTTCGAAGCTAGGGCTTTCCTAGTCGTCACTTTGTCTTGAAAGCACTTACCCAGACAAGGTTTACTCCAACTCTGCCTAGACCCAGTGAATAGACTAAGTTACACAATAGAAATTAGTTGTCAAGCCCAAGTAGAAAGTACATGACAGAAAGAAACTGCACGCTAGCTTCATAAAGGCGGCAACAAGCGTGTAAAGAAGCTTTTGTCCACTCAACCCTCCTCTTTTTTGACAGATACGTCCTTTAAAAAGAAGCTGCTTCAACTACAAGATCGTTCATCATAACGGTGAGGAAATATT